AGGCCGCCACAAAGTCCCGGACGTCCTGGGCCATCCCTGGCCACCAGAAACTTTGGCGGAGGAAGTGGAGCGTTCTCTGGATCCCAGGATGGCAGGTGAGTTTTGACGAATGTCCCCACTGAAGCACCTGAGAACGGGCAGATTCCGGAACGAACCTCCGGTCCGGGGGTCCAGTCTTGGGGTCTGGTTGAGTCTTCAGTGCCTCCTCAATAACTGCCTCTATCTCCCAGGTGGCGGCGCCGACGAAGCAGGTGGGTGGGAGGATGAGGTCCGGTTCACTGGTGTCTGAAGGAGAGCTGAAGATTTGGGAGAGGGCGTCAGGCTTGGCGTTGCGGGATCCGGGTCTGTAGGACATACTAAAGTTGAATCTGCTCAGAAAAAGTGCCCAGCGGGCTTGGCGGGAGTTGAGGCGCCGAGCAGAGCGCAGATTCTTGTGGTCCGTCCAGATGATGAAAGGAAGGTGTGAACCCTCCAGCCAGTGCCTCCACTCCTGCAGGGCTCACACCACAGCCAGCAACTCTCGGTTACCCACATCATAATTTCTCTCCGCAGGAGACAGGCGGCGAGAAAAAAAACGCACAGGGATGCAACCTCTGCGTCTTGGGGTCCCGTTGAGACAACACCGCTCCAGCACCAGAGTCGGAGGCGTCCATTTCCACCACGAATTGCAGCGACGGGTGAGGATGTTTTAAAACAGGAGTGGATGTGAACAGAGCTTTCAATCTAGAGAATGCAGAGGCTGCCTCCGGAGACCAGAGGAAGGGAGTGTTAGGGGATGTGAGGCGAGAGAGAGGAGCAGCCACCTTACTGTAGTCCTGTATGAATCTCTGGTAGAAGTTTGCAAAGCCGAGGAAACGCTGCAACTCCTTGCGGGTGGTAGGAGTGGGCCAGTCCCTCACCGCCTGGATCTTCACCGGGTCTGGCTGCAGCTGTCCCTGGGCTATCACATAACCCAGGAAACCAACCGACGAGGTGTGAAACTCACATTTCTCGGGTTTCACATAAAGGCGGTTCTCTAACAGCCTCTGAAGAACCAGACGGACGTGCTGCCGGTGCTCCTCCTCATCCTGGGAGAAGATGAGGATGTCATCCAAGTAGACGAACACGAACCGGTTCAGCATGTCCCGGAGCACGTCGTTGATCAGGGCCTGGAAGACAGCTGGGGCGTTGATGAGTCCGAATGGCATTACTAAATACTCGAAGTGACCAAGCGGGGTGTTGAATACCGTCTTCCACTCATCTCCCTCCTTGATTCTGATGAGGTGGTAAGCATTCCGTAGGTCGAGCTTGGTGAAGATTCTGGCGCTACACAGGGGTTCGAAGGAGGGATCAATGAGGGGAAGAGGATACTTATTTTTAACTGTGATCTCATTCAGGCCTCGGAAATCTATACAGGGGCGAAGGGAGCAATCTTTCTTTTTAACAAAAAAGAAACCAGCTCCTAGTGGGGAAGAGGATGGCCGAATGAGTCCTGAAGCTAAGGAGTCCTGGATGTAGGACTCCATCGCCTCCCTCTCAGGACGGGACAGATTGTAGAGACGGCTACTGGGAAGGGTGGCACCAGGAAGGAGGTCGATGGCACAATCATAGGGGCGGTGAGGGGGTAGGGATAAGGCCAGTTCCTTGCTGAACACAGTAGCGAGGTCATGATACTCTGAGGGAACACTGGTGAGAACAGGTTGAGCTGGGGTTGCCATCTGTCGGCGGGAGAAGGGATTAGCGGATCTGAGGCAGTGGGAATGACAATGGACGCTCCAGTTGGTTATGGTGGCAGATCTCCAGTTAATTTGCGGATTGTGCAGTTGTAACCAGGGGAGACCAAGAACTATGGGGGATTGAGGAGAGGGAATGACATAGAGCTGGAGATCTTCACGGTGATTTCCGGAGATGATAAGAGTTAAAGGGGCAGTGCGGTGGGTGACATTGGAGATAAGGCGGCCGTCTAAGGCGGTGACTTTCTTGGGAGTGGGAAGGGGCTCTAACGGGAGATTGAGTTGTTCAACTAACTCACTGTGAATGAAGTTGTCATCTGCACCAGAATCGATGAGGGTCTGCAGGGGTAGAGAGTCTCTCTCCCAGAGGAGGCAGGAGGGCACAGAGATTCGTTTAGGAGAGCTGGAGGGGGAAGAGGTGTGGCTCACCAGTGCGCTCTCACTTACTGATGAGCCTTGTCGTTTAACTTATGAGGGCAGGTGGCAAGGAAATGGCCAGCTTGGCCGCAGTAGATGCAGAGTCTCTGAGTGATGCGTCTCTGCCGCTCATTAGGGTGCAACTTCGCCCGCCCCAACTGCATGGGCTCCTCCGGGGGCAGACTGGAGCTGGCAGGAGAGGGTGGCGAAGCAGAAGGTCTTGTCAGACCGGTAGAGGGAGCCATGCTACAAGGTCTGGATAATCGATGCTGAGTTCTCTCCCTGCGTCTTTCCCTCAAGCGATTATCTATGCGAATCACCAGAGAAATTAACTCCTCGAGTGAGCCTGGCTCATCTCTGGAGGCTAGCTCATCCTTAAGCTCGTCGGACAAGCTTCTCAAAAATACCCCCTTTAATTCTTGCTCCCCCCACCCGCTCTCTGAAGCTGCAATACGAAAATCAATGGAAAATTCTGCCACTGACTGAGACCCCTGAGAAAGGGAAAATAGGCGCTTAGCTGCCTCCTGGCCCTGAATAGGGTGATCAAAAACTCTGCGAAGCTCCTCAGAAAAACTAGAAAAAGAACTTAAAACAGGTGACTGCTGGTCCCAGATGGCTGTGGCCCATTTAGCGGCCTTACCCCGTAACAAATTAATGACATAAGCTATCCTGGCTCTATCGGTGGGATAACTAAAAGGCTGCTGGTCAAAAACTAAGGAGCAACGTAGCAAAAAACCCCTGCAGCTACCAATCTCCCCAGTGTAAGGCTCAGGAGGGGGAACATAGGGCTCCTTGGGGGAAGAGGGAGAGGGAGAGGTGGCTGAGGTGTTAGGAGGGGGGGCCGTACTCACAGTGGGAATGGAGCCGGATGGCTGGGGAGGTAAGCGGGAGACAAGTTGCTCTGAGAGGTGGGAGACTTGAGCACTGAGGTCCTGTAGAGAGTCCATGAGACCTTGCAACATGTCCTCATGCTGTCCGAGCCGAATTCCTTGTTTGGCAAGAGCTCTCCTGACGGGGTCTGAGTCTGCTGGGTCCATGTTTGGCCAGAGTATTCTGTGATGACAGCGAGGTTATGGACCCAAAATGCAGACAGACCGAGGGAAAAGGGTTTAACAGTTTTATTGAGCCAGAATGATGCAGAGAACAAAGGAGATCCGGAGTCCAGGTGCAGAGTGGGATAACCAGGTGAGAGTGCTGGGCTGTGGGCTACTGTGAGGCACGGAGGGAGACACTGGAAAAAAGGTAGGAGAACGAGGGTTAAACACTCGACGAGCAAAAAACACAATCAAACTTGCAAGATTACTCAAATCACTGGAGGAAAAGAGGAGCCGAGATACCACTGCGTGCAGTCGCAAATACTCTGGCACTGAGGCTAGAGTCGGTGGCAGTCTTAAAGCCCGTTGATTGCAGATGACTCTCAGGTGTGCACACTCAGCCTCAGTGCAGGGCGGGGGAGGGGAGAAGCCTCTGGAGACAGGTAAACACAGCAGCACACAACCCACACAGGAAGTAGACTCCGGAAATGTTCATAAAATAAAAGCCAAAAATCCATGCTCACCACACAGGGGATGATTAGCCTACCGAAAACAGGGAAACTAGCTTGACTCATTTTGAAGGTAATAAAATCCCTCTAATATACCACCTACAAAGCTCACTAAGTATCACGTTATGTGTCATTTATTGAATCTGTAAAATTAATAAACAGTGGCAGTCAGACTCATGCTAACTTTCTCCCTGTTTCTAAGCTTTAAGCTAAGCTAAGTTACAGTAAGATAAGCTAAGATAAGCTAAGCTAAGCTAATTGGCTGCTGGCTGTAGCTTCATATTTATCATCACCATCCCAAAATGTTACGCTGTTCATTTTAAGATGGACTTTATGTGTTAGCAAAAAGAAGAGTTAGCATAGCATCTTTTCTCATCCTTTCTGTTACTCTTTATGTTGAATCAATCACTGTGGAAAAACCACCACATTCATTTAATATTAACTGAGCTAATACGGCTCTACCATCAGTGGGACGGATTCAAAGTGATGCTGAATGAAGAGTAAAACTTTGCTCCAAGGCTGTGTTTTACATCTAGTCAATGAGTTTCTGTGTTCCACTGTAAGTGATGGTGGGATTTTATCCTTCTGTCCTGGACAGTTTTATGTGATGTCTGTTTAACAGCTCACATGTTCATGCAGTGTTCAAAAGACGTGAACACAAAGAATAAACTGTCTGAAGTCTGGCGTTAAAGTATTCTGTACATCCAAGTAAGCCACTGCAATGGTTAAACCATTAGAGTAGCTTCATTAGAATAGATCTGCAAATACGAAACAGGAATCATTGTCACAGTAATTTGTTGCTCTCATTTGTTATGTATTGGCTCTGCGTGGTGCTCCACCTAGTTGATAGACCCCTGTGTTTGCTGTTTTCCTCTGCCAGTTTTCTTCTGCTCCCCCCTCTCAGAGTGCTTGGAGGTCACAGCTGTGTTCTTTGCAGAGTTGTGATCTTCTTTGGCATGAAAGCCTTACTGAAAGATCTTATCTCAACACTGGGGCTGCGATGAGCTCACCACCCACCCACTGTCTCCCATAGGACATAAAGAGAGTCTCACAAGGAAAAAAAGCAGTCACCATGGGGAGGAGGCAATTGTCAGAGTTTTGGCATTTGACTAGAAGAGTGATTAGCACCCTGTTCACCATCCAGAAGTGAATACCAAGTGGGAGAGTCAGACTTGTACATCTTCCCTGTCTCAGACATCACTGTCACAAAGTTGCTAAATAAGCAATAGATGCTAATGTTCATCAGTCCCCTGTTAATGTTGCCAATGAATGAAGTAGGCCTATAACCCTGTGTGCCATGACTTATTTCATCAACAACTCTTTTCCAGGAGGACATGTGGGCTGTGTCAGTCCTGACAGGCCAGGGTTACACCCCAGAGCCCTCTGACCTGGAGCAGCTGATTGACATCAACTCCAAAATCCGTTTTCTCCTTCCTGTCGAAGAATTTCTCTCGGTGCAAAGCTCATACACAAACCTGAGCGTGTCCCAGGTACGTATCAAGCACCACTACTGTCTGCATTACTACAGTAATGGGTTTATATAGAGTGAAGTTAACTCCTGCAGACATCATCCAAGACTGCACTTAGGCCATGTGATTAAGCCTTACAAGATCAGCTCAGTATGGCATCGATGGCAACATCTCATAAAAACCTGTTGTTATTGACCCTCAGAGAGTCACTCCCTTATTCATAAGCGGGGAAAAACGGTATTGTGTAAGCTGCTGTAATTTGGAGCTGAGGGTTGCCTCACTTTTCCATCCACTTTTCCACATTTCCATATGAAGGCCATATAGAGCCTCTTGTACATCATGTGCTCCTACTAAATTTTGAAGTAACAATTTTGCTTTGACTGTCGTTTTATTGTTCTAATTACTATTTTCCACATGAGCAGGGGCAAATTTGATACATTTAGGCATTTATAATATTTTATGTATCCCTCGTTTTCACACCTGATGAGTTGTTTGGCCATTTTGTCTTGTTGTTTTGTGATTCCATTTTCTCACTGAATACATTTTGAATTAAAGGGGAATTTAGGTAATTTTCAACCTTAACCCTATTTTCTCATGTTTTTGTGTCACAGTAACTAATGGGGACAAACATTTTTGTATTCAGTCCAGTATTGAGCTGCAGCCGCAGCAGCAAAACCAGGTGCAATGTAATCCCTGTGGGCAACTGTGCACTGTCAGTTTACTACTATTAAAAGTGCTGGGGCCAGTTACACAAAGCACCTTAAGTCTGCTCCTTAAGTATGACACTTAAGGCTTACATGAAATACCTCGCCAATAGCTGACTGGAAAGATCCTGTTGCATAAAACCACAGTGCAATCATTAATTGTAAAGGGGCTGAAAGAGCACAGCTTTGGCAAGTTGAGTGATCCAACCCCAAACATTCACAATCATTAAATGACTTCTGGTAAAATTTAAAGCGCAAAATCAGTTGCTCATCATTAAGGGAGCGATCACACCGAGATGAAACGCTAGAAACGCGACGCCAGTAAAACCATTGTTTTACTATGATACGGCGTGTCTGACTGGCATTCAAGGGTCTTTTTAGACGGGCGTTTTTGTAGATGCTTCTTTTTAGACGCTTCTTTTTAGACATGCGTAGACGCTGAAAAGTTAAAATATTTTCAACTTTTTGAGCTTCAGATGCCAGTAGCTAGCGCGCATTGAATAAGCGCTTCCAGCGTTTCAAGAGTCTTTGAAGCATCCGCGTCTCTAGCGTCTCATTTCTGTGTGATCACCCCCTAAGGGTCCATTGGATTCTCCCGGTAGCAGAGCACTCTTCTTGGGATGCCTTAATTTTTCTCATTTATCTCCATAAACTCAACCATGTTGCAGTTAAGACAGAATCAGAGGTACTTTATGTTTTTGTCCTTACTTTGATCAGGTTCCTGCGCAACGGTTTAATCTGTAAGTAAACATTTTAAGGAAACCTTAAGGAGAAGACCTGAAGATGTTTCGTGCAACCATTTTTTCCCCAAGTAAACGTTAACTCAGACTTTGAAGAAAATCTTAACTTAAGGTGCTTTCTGCAACCGGCCAACAAACAACAGTGGAAACGTGAGTGAGGAGTGCCAGGAACAGTTTGTTGTGCTGGAGTACAGAAAGCTAATCTAAAACATTTTCAGTGTCATGGCTGAGTATTTAGCTGATTTCGACAATCTGGAATAGTCCATGAGATATCAGAACGAGACTTGAGTGAGACTTGGTTACACACACTAACAAACAGACCGGATCAGTGAAAGGTAAGGAAAAACATTTCATTTCTCTGTAGCGTCATTTCCGTAATGTTGTCAGACACTTGTAATAACAATCTGAGCCTGCCAGTGGCAAAAACAGGCAGTTTTTTTGGAGGTAAATTGACAGTGCACAGTCGCCTGTAGGGATTACATTGCAGCCTGTTTCGCTGCTGCAACTCATAACACATGACAAATTTCAAAAATATTGTCTCCATTTGCCACTTAGACACAAAATTATGAGAAAATAGCTTCCAGATTGAAAAATACCAAAGTTTCCCTTTAAGATAACTCATAATGCTCACCCTTTAAGTGCTGTTCATTGTCTGGGTTTAGAGTACGATCTCCACATCACAACCACATCAGACAGTGGAGAATCAACTTAACAGATATTTATAACAGTAAAAATTTTCCAGGCCTTGGTCCTGAGTTCGGGCCTGCTGCAAGACGTGAGCTCAGCCAGTTATCTCAGGACCTTATCTCACTACATTTTAAAGGCCAGATGGCATGCTCATCATTTGCGTAGACTGTCAGTGGAAAATGGTGTTTTTGAAGTCATAAAAACTTTATCATGCCGTTTTGTGAACCCAGGGTGCCATTTTGTATTACTGCTACTGGATGTAGACAAGGAAAAACTGCAGTACTTAAATCCCAGCACTGGAGCAGCACATAGTCTATGTCATGATGTCCAGAATATTAATGTTGCGGGCCTAATTATTTCCTGCTTTCCTGCTGTCATTCTTTTGATGTTGTAAGGAAATGGCGAAGCTTAACACTTGAGGCTGAGATCATCTATGTAGTGCCCTCCAGCTTTCTGTCTAGGTGATAAGAAATTTTTTAAGGATTCTTAATATTTCTACTGTCTTCAGTGGGGTGTAGCTTTAAGATAAGTATATGATCAGTGTGATGTGACACGTGGAGCAGAAATGAGTTCAAACAAGTTAGTTGATTGACAGAGAATTGATCACCAACTATTTTGATTAATTGTTCAAGTCATTTTTAAGAAAACTTTTCCCTTGTGCTCTCCCTCTGCGGCAATAATAAAAAATAAAAGAAATCACAAATTTACTGCCAGAAAGTCTGGTGATGTCATATAAAGAGTGACAAAGTCCACATGGAAGAAGTCGTGGTGGATGAGTGGGTCAGGCACAGACCTTTCACCCAGCAGACCAGGGTTTGTGTCCCATGCGAGTCAACGTGCTTATTATTTTCAGACTCAGCTGACTTATTATTGTCAGCTTTTCTGATGAATAAAGCTGCCAAATGCACACTGTGTACATGAGTCAAGCACAAGGCTGCTGTTTTTCTCAGAATATTATTCCCCCCCTCGCTGGCCCTAATATGCCGTCGCACTCTCACACATGTTGTGAGGTGGATGTTTGGGCCAAATAGAACGAAACTGTGATATAACTGGGCGACTGTATGTGTTAATATGTGTAACCTACTTTTCCCTCTCTTCCCACTCTTTCATCATCTTGTCTGGTAATAAGAGTTTTGGGGAAAGTAAAACTCCCCATCATCCATCATCTGCTCACCATTAGTGCTGAAACCGCCAATGCAGGCATTCACTTTTCAATGATATGAAATATGACCAAAGGTGACGAAAAATTAAAAATTCACAGCATTTTATTGTTTTCTTGAAATAAAGAGTGAAAGGTGGGTGAACCGAACACCTGTACGGCTTAAAAAGTAGCTGTTTCTTTAACCCACCTTAATCCCGTCTCACTGGTGTGGCATATATTAGACTGAACTGACAATAAATCTCTTTCAAAGCCAGTCATTCATTCCACATCACTGCCTATAAATCTTAAATGTGGTCATAAAAGTAAATATGCTTTTGTTTTGCGAGTACCTTTTTTCTCTGCAGTAGCTTGCACCAGTCAGATTTCCTAACTGGAACCATTTGGAGAGCAATTCAGGAACCTTCTTGTTTGCTTGAAAATTCCAGGGTAGTCTCTAATGTTCACAGAAGAGATCATCTTATCTCTTATCACATCTTAACCTTTTTTTCCCCCATGATAATAAATCACGGCCTCGCCGTCCACGTTTGCTGTTGTGTCTTGTTTTCTGGCCGGCCACGTCAGATCTGTCAGGTTTTACATGGAAGAGGGAGTTATTCACCTCTCCCCAGTGAGCACTCGCTCATAAAGGATCAGTCAGGGCTTGAATCTGTGACCTCAGAACTTGGCGGCATCCTCTCCCAATAAGTCGTGATTGATATTCTGAGGAAAAGGCAGCCTGTCCGTTCCTGTGCACTCACCTTAGTGTTAGCATCTCTTGCTGAGCAGGTCATTCGCTTGACGCTTTTGAGGGTGGATGCAGTCTTGTGAGGCCTGGCACCAGCCAAGATACTGCCACAGAGGAGAGTCATCCCCCCATCAGAACCTAATTACAGAGCTGGTGGAGGTAGAATCGTGCCAGGTCCAGAAAAGGAACAAGGCTTTCCCTTTCATTTGGAAATACATATGCAGAGAGGCTTACTATATATATGGTAAAGACTACTGTATGCTGCATAGGAAGACCAATAAGCCACATATTGCAACCAATAGTCTAATTGTAGTGATATATTTTTGTACAAAAATGTATGAAATCATACTTTGTACATTTTGTACAAATGTCTTAATCAGAGAGGGAGTTTGTCTAGGTTGTAGACTTACATGCTTAGCTATAAAGCACATGGGACGTGCACTAAGACCAGCTATTTGTCTTTAGTTTTATTCGTTTTTATTTTTTGGTGTTTGTGAGGCAGTGCTGCACGGAAGTTTTTTTGAATACCAGCACAGACATTAATATCGCCCTGGCTCCCTCTGCAAAAATACAATGGGAATTTGCCATTGGATTTTGGATTATCGCAGAAAACAAATTTTTTTTGTACTTACTGCTGTTATAATTTTTGAAGCCTAAATACCACTGTCAGAAATAAAAAGCTGACGTTAACCTAAGGAACTACACCACAGTCGCATGACTTCATCGTCACCTCAACAAGGCCATAAAGCTGTGTTTGGCGAGATGACGTTCCGTAGTTACATTTAGCCACTTGTTAGCAACCATCTTTTTAAAGACACGTAAAGGCTTCAGAATCCACAAGTGGGGATATTTACTGACATATTTCATGTCAGAAGTACAAAATGTGAAAGTCTCTAAAGCTTGTGTTAACCACAGACCTTATTTCAGGCATCTCACCAAAAACCCATTCAATAAACCCATTGACTTCGAGTCAAGGGAACAGGGAGTGCTAAAATGCTAACACA